TCTATGAGATTACACGGCGCAATATTCCGATATTTTCATACTTACCGCCGTGAAAACCTAAAATCTCAATATGTTATTTTTTCACCGTGTACATTAGTCCCGCTCTGAATCCATCCCATACTTCTGAATTGTTCAATTATAAGGGTAGTATACACAAAACAGAACATCCATAATATCAATTATGTACTGCTCGCTAGCAAAATGCGAAAGGCAAAATTATATTAGAGTAAGTATATATGCATTCTTTAAAATTAAGAGTAATTGATAGTAAGATTGACCATACTGTCGGAACTTCAGCATATGTGTTTTCGTAGGGAAATCGGTACCAGAATGGAACTTCAATGTAAGTAACTAACTAACGAATTAACTCCCTGGTAGCTGAAACTTGCAGGTCCAATATTGACAACACCAAAGCCCGCCAGCGGATATGATCCTGAGCCAACTCTAATTCCTATCTCTAAGATCCATCTCCTTCATGGTCTACTAGTAGTCGGTTTCCAAAATATTTTACTGTCTTTTCTTTGCTAGGTGATCTGTGCATTTCATGCAGTTCCTCATTTTGTAATATTCTAAATTCCCCACTTATTTCATCCCTCCTAGGCCCAAATATCTTCCTGAGCACCTTGTTTTCAAACTAATCTACATTATTCATTCAAGGTAAAATACTAACATGTTTCACAGCAGTACAAGACGACCGGAAAATTATTGTTTTATATATCCTGATCTTCAGTGTTTTGAATAGCATATTGGATAACAACATTTTTTTAATTGAATAAAATGAAGCGTTCCTCGAACATATTCTACTCTTAATTTCATCACGGACCTCATATCTATTTGTTATTACTGTTCCCAGATACATTTTCAAATGATTTGCTACTTATAATTATGTTCCGCCGTTATTGCTGATGTTGATCTTGTATTACGCCCATGTCTACATTTACTTCTAGGCCTATTAGTTTGCTAGCCTGTAAAAGAGTATCTGCTCTCTTGGTTATGGCAACCATACCTTAATTAACCTAGGAATTTTCTTTGATATTTCAAACAATTTCAAAATGTCATACGCTACCTCCGTTATGAGTCACATGCCTTCCTAAAGTCCCAAATAGTTGGCGTACTGATCCATCATACACCCACTTTTTCTTTAATACTTGTCGAATAGGAAAGATCTGATAAATAATTGACTTATTACTGCGGAATTCACATTGATCGTCTGCTGTTGTTTCATTCATATATGGTGTTAACCGTGCCAAAAGAATATTGGAAAACATTTTATATGACGACAAAAGAGATGCACTCAATTTTGTCACCTATTTTATGGATAGGGACAACAATTGATCCTTTCCACTGTTGCGGTAGTACTTCCGGGCTCCAAATCGAGACTATATGCTTGTGTATCTCTGAGTTCAATGTCCTGCCACCTACATGGATTAAATCCCATTGACCTGATGAAACAAATAAAAATAATAATCGCGGTTTTGGAGTAAGGCTTGTTAGAACTCGTCGAAATATTGTTAATGAGCAGTGTCTGCAATTGTGATCATACAAAACATCTCGTATTTGAAAATGTCTTGCGTACAAAATTAAATAAAATATTCGTTTATAGCGGATAAAAAAACAGTAACCAATCCATACTCTTACAAACTATTGCTTTAAAATTCTTTCGAATATTATTATCATATCTCCACTTAGATCTACCAAGATGTCTCTTCCTTCAGTTTTTCAGTTTAATATTTTGAATGCAAATTCCAATATATTCGTGCTACTTGTTCTCCTTAATTCTATCATCCTAGCAATACTTGATGAAGAATAAATATTATGAAGCTTCTAATTATGCCATTTTTCCCACCCTCTTGTTTATTCCTCTCTCTTTCGTCAGAATTTTCTCCTCAAATTTTTGTTCTCAGACTCCCTGATTATAGGATATACGAGTTGTGACAAAGTTTCTAGGATGCCCCCATAAAAGCCGTATTCAATTACTTAAACACTATTTGTTCCTTTCACCGTTGAAGCACTCTCCTTGCGCGCAAATTCATTTACTGAGTCAGTGTTTCTACTGTTCGAAATATTTCTGAACTCCTCTTCTGGAATGCTCTTCAGGATGATCGTCGCCATGTCACTGAATGTCGGTCGGCAGTGTCTGAAGACTTTGATCTTTCAAACCGGTCTTCAGTTTCTGGAGTAGCCAAAAGTCGGACAAGGCAAAATCTGGCTAATGTTGTGGTTGGTCCAATTTCAATACCGATTTTTGGTCAAGAACTTTTGGACAGCGAGCAGGGTCATTGTCATGACACGAGATCCAAGCATCAGGATAAAGTTAAGGTCTTCTCCGACGAACAACCTCGTGTAATTTTTTCGGTATTTCCAAGTAACTATGCTGGTTTACTCTCCGACCTTGTTAAACAAACTGGAAGTAATCAATGCCCTTGTAAACAATAAAATAAATAAGTACATTCATTACATGAGATTGTGACGTGCATGAATATTTTGGTCTCGGTGACGATGTTTTTCAATTCATGCTCGTGATAATTCTATCCAAAAAGTTGTTTTCTTTGGCCACGTGACGAGAGACATCAGAGCAAACTTCAAGCCACCATTGTTTGTGGTCATCAGACAATTCATGACACCAAATTCGCTGAAATTTTCCTCATTCCCAAAATCTTTAATCAAAATCTTCCTCACAGTTTCTATGTCTAAATTCAGTTACTCTATCATCATTCGTAAACGTAATCGTCAGAAAGAAAAAAACAATTTCGGCACTTTTTCCACACTTCAATCTGCCCGGTGAGTTTTCGGGCACCCAGTTCTTTCGTTGTCTTTCACGTCTTCCCGATCCTCTTTAAACATTTCATTCCACTCAAAGACACTCGAATTTTTCATAGCATCAGCTCCATAAGCCTCTGTTAGCATATGTAGAATTTCACTCCTGCTTTTATCTTACTTTTCACAACACCAAGTGTTAAATGCGTTGGTACAACCTAACACTTGTTTTTCGGCCAGGACGAAGACGCACGTTTATGTAATTCATCCACTGCTTCGCTAGTTCTATCTTATTTGCTTCACAAACGCACAAGACGGAACAGCGGACACGTCGTTACGCGTCGCTGCTAAATTATTGCTCCCTCGCTACTCGATGCGATATCAGGGTTATTCATAATTCCCTGACACATTACAAAACATCGCTAGACTTGAATGGTGCAATGGATGGTAACATAGGGCATGCCGATAGAAAGAGAAATTCTCCAAGTTTATTTTACATACCTCATAAGTGCTCTATGTTTCCGCCCTTTGTGACATGGCAGAAGTCAAGCCCAAACTTTCACGATCAATTTGCGAGATGGCATGATTTGTCTTCGCACCTCAGGCAGATCCCGTGGCAGAGGTGGTCTTTAACGTATCTCCATAAGAAAAAAATCACATGGCGTCAGGTCAGGTGATCGGGGTGACCAACGAAGCAGCGCATGGTCATTGGCAGCCATGCGTCCGATCCAACGTTGTGGCAAATGATGATTGAGGTAGCCGAGGACGAGGCGGTGGTAGTGTGGCGGAGCCCCATCTTGCTGATAAATGAAGTCATTGCTGTGATCATGAAGCTGTGGCATTAGCCATTCCTGCATCATCTCAAGTTAGGAAGTGCCAGTGACGGTTGCCTCGGCCTCTTTGGATATGGAACAGAAAACGTTCAGTTTCGTTGAATCCCGAATGTGCTCAATTGTGGCATGTGGGTTTTCACTTCCCCATACCTGCACATTGTGTCTCTTCACCTTATAAACATGAAACTTAGCTTCGTAGCTGAAAATCAGTTTTTCAGCGAAACTTGGAGAGTTTCTCTTTCTATCGGCATGTCGCATGTTACGATCCTTTGCACCATTTAAGTCTGTCGATTTTTTGTAATGTTTCAGGGAATTATGAATAATCCTGTATATGCGGGTGTTCCGGGAATTTAATTGTCGCTCCTCGAATGCCTCCCTTAGGGTGAAGACTAAGTTTCTCATCCTTTAGAACATTTAAATGTAAGTACTTAAATGACTTTTTTAACTGTTTTAGCATCTAGCTTGTTTTCTTTGTATTACGCATGTTATCGACCTGCTGTTATATTACTGATTACATTATAATGGAAAAGTTAAACACTTAAAAATAAATCCGACGGCTATTCATCCATTTTAGTCTTCATTTCTATTTGCAACTAAAGGTGAGCTCCCGTAATAGGAGCGGGAACGTGCCCTTAAGACGATACTGGCATTCACGTGAGTCAAGAACTCCTTAGGGTATCATCGTTGTGTTAAAACACTTTTGCTTTTCACTTTGGATCGGTTTCTTCCTTCTCGTCTGATCCACAATTGTTAAGACAATATGGATAATCTAAAATATTTATAATTCCCCCACGAGCTGGGGTAACTCAGTCAGTGTATTGATTGGACGACCGGGGTTCGATCT